GATTAGAACTCCAAGTTTCCTTGCGTAAAGCATTGAGTCTATGCTGCAGGGATAAATAACTATTTAGTCCAAATGGTGTGAAGACAGTGCAGGGTCAGCAACATCAAAATAGGGCCATGGGCCAGTTTGAACTATAAAGATCGCTCCTGACTGCATCAGCACCTATCACCACTCCAAGGGAGTTTTTAATCTCCAACCTCCTAAGTGTACAAATCACTCTCAGTGTTCATTTAAAATCTGCAAGATAATCTACCTAGAGTGGGGGTAGGCAACCTTCGGCACTCCAGGTGTTGTGGACTACATCCCCCATAATGCTCTTTACAACCATAATGCTGACAAAGAATCAATGAAGATGTAGTCCACAACACATGGAATTGGCTTTCCCCGATCTAAAGATCCAAAAAATGGGCACCAAAGTTTATGCACATTCTTCAAACCCCAAAAATAATAAGGATGCAGGTAACATAGTGAGGACAATACCGCGGCACACACACAACTCTTGTCATATACAGGCAGCATATGCAAAAGGTTCTCATATACAAGGGAGTTTTTGATATACACCATGGAAGAAGCATTTGGCAATGTAGAATGAAAGAAATGGTTTGGGAGAAGAACAATAAAAACATATTTGAAAGACTTGTGGACAGAGAGAGAAAGGAAGCACAGAATAGGAGAAGATGAAAAAAACATTGGAAGAGAGATATAAAAGAAAGATAAGGGATGGGAAGGACTAAGAACAAAAGGCATGGAACAAGCAAGATGACGTCCAATATGATATGTGACTCATCCGATGCCTTAATCAGAGCATTGCATTTTACTTATGTGATTTTATCTCATGGTCCAGTTATCTTGCCAAAGGTGTAGATTCAGCATTTTTTTTCCGACAATGAAACAGAAATCTACTCTGCCATCCTCTGCTGCAACACTATAACATTACTACTGGGAGAGAAAGAGCTTGCATTAAAAAGGCAGGTAAAGTGAGTACGTTTAAAGGGACCTAGAGGCACGAATACAACTTTAGCTTAATGGAGTAGTGGTTATGGTAAAGGGGATTTAAGGCTAGAGAGGGGCCAGAGTCATCGTTAGATTACATAGGGCATGCAGTGTTAAAAGTATTAACAGCTTGAGAGGATGCACAGTTGTGGTATAGAGGGTGTTAGGGTCAGAGTTGGGTTAAATTTAGTAATGGTCCAACCACACACAGACACTGGAAGAGCTGGGGCTGCCCTGAATTGTACACCCTCTATAGCTGTTCCTGCAACTCCGCTATCAAAAATAGGAACCTAACTGGACTACATAGACACAGACCAAGGCTCCTGGTATTTATCTCCTCATCTGAGCTCACCTGAGCTCTAAAACAGGTATTAGTGCTGATAACATGAATCCTCTACATGACATGCCCCTACCTAATAGGAAAAACCTCCGTGGTAGGTCAGAAATATACAGAGGATTTTAAATCCCTTATTCTCATTCAATACTTCTGTATAGAGCACCGGAGGTATTTTGTTCTCTCTCTTCCTGATTCCCCCCCCTGTTTATTTCTAACACACTGTGAATGTTTTTAACTGTCAGTAAGTTGCCTTAGCAAGTATCCTTAAATTACAAATCTCCTGATAATTTTGCAATCAGGGTAATTTTCTGCCCAAGAAACAAGTTGTTAATGCAATTGACCATATGTAAACAACACATTTATTTACGTATTTATTTATTGTAATATTGATGCCCCTTTAAGTAAATCCATTTGTGAAGGCCTGTGAGATTCCACCCTATTCCCCAGCGTATTTACGACATCAGACACCTGTCTATTTTCTCTGCATTCAAGACATGATAGGTTTCATAAATGCAGCCAGAAAAATTATTGGTTGTCTCTGCCTGAGTTCAAACAAAAAGCACATGTTCTCGATCAGCTGTAACAATTTCCCTTCATCCACCATTCAAAGTCCTATCTGCATCAAGTATCATATTTTTCACCATAGCCCATTTTAATTCAATTATGTTATAGAGTTCTATATATATTTTTCTTTGTTTTGTCTTGTCTGTTCGCCAGATGTGCAGAGAAAAGATAATGTTTCATAGCCACAGAGCTACTGTTGCAGTCCAAGTAAAGTATATTCAATGCGATACATTTATTTGGAAAGCATCAGTTGTCTGGTTAAAATAATTCCCAAGGTACCATATGCATCATAAGTAGAATGTATCACAGCTCTCTCCATCTTCCTCTTTTTAACACCTTTCATCTCATGTTTAAAATGTTGTGATCGGCCTCTCCAGAGCGAAACCCAATTTCCTCTCTCCCTCCTATTTTATGGTCGTTGTCAGGAATTTCAGACATTTGTCTAGGTATATGACAGATCTGCTTCAGATTCATTGCTCTTCTTATGTACCTTAAGATTGCAATACCAAGTCCATAAATTCTGTTTTCTCTGGGCTGCCAGTTCTCGGTTGTTTGAGAGCATGCCCCGAAGGCTATTATAGCCGCTGTATCGTATTTGATATGGATTTGCACAACTCTTGGGATAAACAGATAGTCAGTGTTTGTTGCCCAGAAATCTGGTTTGCTTCCATAATCTCAGAACTTTAACTGTTCTTTTCGATGATTTATCAAATCTAAGTGGAGTCTTGTTTCTTCTTTGTAATACCTGAAGGTCAAACACAATGTTGCAGACTACAGTCCAGTTTGTTAGACAGTGAAAATATAGCTGTTAAATTCTACTTTAAGATAAAGCAACTTTGAGTTTTCAGCAAACATCATGAAACGTATCCGATTCGAGGGTTGAGACTCATTACTTGCAATAAGGTTAGCACAAAGATGAAGAGTGATACTTTGAACAAAATCGACAATGTTGCTGTGAACTGAACAAATTATCTTAAAGGAAAATTAAATCAAGCCTATGATTGACCATGACACATAGTGTGATGTGTGGAGGTAATATTTAAAAATGGACTTACTCCACTGACCATAAATGCTGTAGAACATTGTTTTAACGTATTTAAAAGTGCCGTATTGAATATTACCTCTACTCTCCCATCTGCACTGTCCTCTCTTGATCTGAAGTGGGTATTAAGTTATTCAGATGATTCATGAGCACGTCAGGGCCAGATTCTTCCAGTTGTGATTTCTACAATGGTCATAAGTCGTGCTCTCAAGCCAGAAGAATTGCACTGAAAAAGGGACATAACAATTATTCAATATGGAAGTGTCCTAGTTATTTTAAAATTATAATACCATATATAGTTTCTACAAACTGCTATGGTCTTTTAAATATGTATTATTTTACATTAATGCATTTGTCATTTTTAATATTCTGGAAGAGGTTAACAGAATTATTGTAGATATCAGTTGGTTAATTATCACCAAAAGGAGGTAACCTTTCTAGTTGAAGAATAGACTCAAAATACTGATTCACCAGTGCAGGAAAACAGGAAATTACGACGCATTGCCTTCACTAAGAAATTTCTGCAATTACCCAATCCTGGATAAAAGTTGCAAAAAGGTCAACAGAGTTTAGTAAATTGTGGACATTTCCAAGTAAGTGAAAAATAACCTAGGTAAAGATTAAAACTTCTATAAAGAAGAGAAGATTTGTCTTCTTCAGTGAAAATAAATTATGTACAGAAGAAGGGATGAAGGTGACACTACGGTGAAGAATAGAGATTCCCCTGTGTATATGGGTGATGAATTATGTAGATGACAAAATGTATTTCCATAGATAGTTGCACAAGAATCCCTGGAACATTTGAGAAATTTAAGCTCAGTGGTAAAGCATTCTCCTTAAATCCACATGTATCAGAGACACATGACCCACACATTTAAGGAGATTTTTGTCCAGAAGATGTTTCTTAAAAGTTTATATGTATTTTCACTTTCACTAATTTATAAAATATTTTACCAGGAAGGATACATTGAGATTTCTCTTGTTTTCAAGTATGTTCTGGGTCCACAAAACATCGCATTGATTGTGGTTCAATGAAATACAAAAACAATATTAATATACAATATATACAAAATTAAACATAGAACAGGTAAGAAATATATAACCAACCATGACAGGTGCATTCTGTTTTTAGATATGTAGAGAGGGATCTCTTAAAGGATTCTACGCCTGGGGAAGATTTGAAAGTGTGCGGGAGGTCGTTCCATAATTGCGGGGCACTGTAGGAAAAGGAGGATCGGGCTGCTTTCTTTTTGTATTGAGCTAGACTAAATAAAGTGTTGGTACTGGATCGGAGATTATAGTAGGTGGGAACAGCCGGGGAGAGCATTCTGCTCAGGTAGGGTGGGAGCTTCCCAGAAAAGCTCTTAAACACAAGGCTGGAAAGATGAAGAGTGCGTCTGGATCCTTTGGATTTAGTTCTTTTAGCATGTCACCATGATGGGTCATGTAATTACATTGTAGCACAAAGCAGCAGAACGAGTTATACAGTGTATTAAGTTTATTAAGGTGGGTTTGTGGTGCAGGTGCATATACTATATCCCCATAATAAATGATTGGCATCAGCATTTGCTGTACAATCTTTTCCTTTACTGTAGGGCTTTGACAGGATTTGTGTTTCTGTACAGGGCACCTAGTTTTGGATAAAGTTTAGATGCAAGATTTTCTATGTGGAGGCCAAAAGATAGATTGGGGTCTAACAACATACCCAGGCATTTGAAAGAGTGGACTGCGGTCAGTGTGCTATTTGATTTTGTTCTGATGCATAGATGGGAATTTTGTAATTTGTGTAATTTAGGTACTGTTCCAAATATTGTGATAGTTTTGTCAGTGTTTAGGAAGAGTTTGTTTTTTGTGATCCACTTTTCTACCTTTGTGAACTGGTCTTGGAGCACAGCCTCAAGCTGCGGTAGATCGGATTTGTTTGCATAGATAACTGTGTCATCTGCGTATGTGTGTACATTTGAGGATTTGCAAACATTAGTCAGATAATTTATATAAAATGTAAATAGTAGGAGGCCGAGAATGGAACCTTGGGGAACACCACACGTGACTGGGAGAGGTAGGGAGTTGCTGTCAGAAATGGACACATATTGTGATCGATCTGATACATATGATTGAAACCAGGTTAGCGGACGACCACCAATACTCGAGCTTTTGAGTTTGTGCAGTAGAATGTCGTAGTCTACTGTGTCAAAGGCCTTTGCAAAATCAAGGAAAATAGCTCCAGTTAGATCTCCTTGTTCCATTCCAGTTTGGATGTCATTGCAAACTTTTAAGAGGCCAGTTGTAGTGGAGTGATTTGGGCGAAAACCTGATTGATTGGGGGTCAGATAGTTAGATTGTTGGTAATACTCACATAGTTGGGTATGGATGCATTTTTCTAAGATTTTTAACAATACTGGGAGCAATGATATTGGGCGATAGTTAGATACCAAAAGTAGTGTCACCACTTTTATGGATAGGCACTACTCTCGCAGTCTTCCAAAGTTTGCATATGTATCTAGAGACTGAGGATTTGTTAATTAGGGTTGTGAAGGTTTAGCAATTGCCGGTGCACTGAGCTTCAACAGCATCGCTGGGATTTGATCAGGTCCAGACTGGTTTTTCATTTTTAGATTATTAAGGTGTTTCTTAATGACACTAATAGATACAGGTCTAAAGCTGAACTTGTCTTTATTGGGTCTTTACAAACTTAGTGGGGCCTGATCCACATTTGTAGTTTCAGGATGCGTGTCATTTATTAGCTTGGCAATCAGGGTGGTGGAGCATCCGACAAAATAATTGTTAAAGGCATTTGCTACATCTAAGGGAATTTGCAGGGTTTGGTTATCCACTTTGACAGTGGAGAGTTGGGAGTGGATTTGGGGAGTTTGTAAGTTATTTATGACTTTCCAAAAGTTTCTAGGGCAGGGGTAGGCAACCTACGGCACTAGTGCATGCACGGCACTTGAGGTGCCTTTGCACGGCACTCGAGGTGCCTTTGCACAGCACTCAAAGCTACTAGAGCCAAACAGGTTCTGGCTTATCAGGAGTCCCAGTACAACTGCAGATATCTGCTAATACGAAGAGGTGGTGAAGGACAATCCTCAATTTATGCATTGCAGCATGTAGAGGAATCCACACTGTAGTAGAGCAGCTCGCAGTTGCTGTTGCAGCTCCTGTCCTTGACCTGTATCTGGCCGGCCTGGTCCCCGCTGGAACCCAGGGAAGCCACCCACACTGCTAGATATACACAGAAATGCAGAATAACCCTCCCCTCATACAAATAATACGAACAGCCCACACACAAACATACACACAATCCGCTTAAACGCAACACCACTGACAATCCACATACATGCACACAACCCCACATGCAGCCTCTCACATGCAAAACCCCAAACAGCCCCCACACACTACCAAACACACAATGTGACATATCCATCCACACACACAATTCCACAAGCAGCCCCCATACACAGCCCACATTCATATGTATCATACACAATACCATAAACTACTCATGAACATATACAATATAATAGCTCAAATACGCACAAATACAACGATACAAAGCAATTACAGTAAAAATAACACAAGCAGAATACGGCAGCAAACACACTACAATTTAAAAAAAATAGGACCGGCACGCCACGGGACATCACTATCCTATATCGGCACAGTGCTGCTAAAAGGTTGCCTACCCCTGTTCTAGGGTTTGAAATGTTATTGTTCAGATTGTCACAGAAATATTGAGCCTTGGCCAATTTTGTTTGTTTCGTGCATATATTTCGGCATTGTCTATATGCACAGTGATCGTTCATAGAGGCAGTACGCTTGAACTTTGACCACAATGAATCCCGAAACTGATACATTTGAATGAGGTCAGCTATGCTCCAATTCATATGTGCCCCTTTTACTCTCACTTTACAAAGCGGGGCATGCAAATTCCACACTTGTAGGAGTTCGGACTGAAAGAATTCAACTGCACAGTCTAGATCTGGAATTAGGTTTAATATGTGCCATGGAAGGTTCTTGATGTCATATAGAAAGGATTCAAGATTACATTTTTTGAAGGACCTGGTGATTTTAACCTTGGCAGAGGATTTAGTAGCTTTTATTTTGCGCACGCAGTACACTAAGCAGTGGTCACTGAAACTGTTAGGGAGAACACCTGTCTCCTGGATTCTATCAGGAGAAGTGGAGAGAATCCAATTGAGCAGGGTATGGTTAAGGCTTTTAATGTTTATGCGAGTTGGGGAGGAAATTAATTGCATTAGCTGTAAAGTCAGCACTTTAAACAGTTAAATAGCAAGCAAGAACTATTATTTTTAGAATTCAGCCAATAAATATTAAAATCTCTAAAGACCAACAGTTTACTTTTTGGGTTTTGAGCTATGGTTTCACTAATGGGCTATGTCAGAAAGGAAATGCACTGAGTAGCTAGGTGGGAGGTAGATTTCTGCAACAATGATTGAGTTACTGTACGAGATCTCAATTGTGCCAGAAAGGAAATCAAAGGTGGTAGGAGAGCTAAAGTTTTGTAAGGGGGTGAATTGTCAACATAAATTACAATGCCGCCTCCTTTTTGCTCTTTCATTTCTACGACATGAATACCCATGTATCGCAATGGCAGAGTCATGTATTTTTGCGGTTAGCCACGATTCAGAGAGCACAATGATTTTGGCCTTGTAATGTGAACACCATGCTTGCAGTGCATCAACTTTTGGTAGTAAGCTGCGGATATTGCAGAGGCCTTTTTTAGATGGAAGGCTAGGAATGAAATCTGTTGGGGGACCAGGGTTATACTATACATCATTTGCAAGGGCTAGTTACATAAGGAATAAGAATTTGGACATAATATCAGTTTGGTAGTATTGCAATTGTAGGGTTTTATACTTTTGTGGGGTGGGGGTTGGAGGGCTTGATTTCAACACTCCCCACCAGCACTCAGCAGATAAATTACAGCAATAAAGCAGGCCGTGATGTGTAAGAATTTGGTTCTCAGTTTGTGGTGAGTGGTGCTTAAGAGAGTAGTGGTAGTAACATGACAGGAGTGTGAAGAGGGTTACAAGGAATATAAATTAATAATTAATTAACACATTTGGAGCCATGTAGAGGAGGGGTGGAGATGAAAACACGATTTAAATAAGTTACAAATCATGCATGTAGGGTGAGGAAGTACTACTTACACTACACATATGGCTAGGTACAGGACACAAACATAAATGCAGCAGGCGCAACAGCGTGTGGATGATAATAAGAATGTTGATTGAAGCATTGTCTCCTGTTTTTGAGGTTGAGGGAAGTAGGTGTAAGGAGAGATTTTGATACTGAGGAAGAAACGGGAAAATAAGAGAAGGACAAGATGGG